CTAAGCGCAGTAAAGCAGACGCACAATCAAACTCGCCGTGTATGTTTGTGAGCTTTGCAAGAAAGCCCAGAACAACAACTTACAATAGCAGAGCTTCATCTAGGCTTGTGGTTGCAGAGGGTTCAGTCCATGGTGTTCTGGCTCCGAGATTTCACTTGCATGGTTTATTTTCTATGAGAATCCCAAAGTAACACTGACATAATGAGCAAAAAGAAAAAGGATAATGGGAAATAGTGAAACAGACCTTTTGCAAAAAGGAAAGGGACCAAGGGGATAGCAAAAGAATGAAGAGGTTACCAAGAGAATGAAGCAATGCTCTGTAGATGTACCAGCTCCTCACAGGGACTGTGATCCTTACACACTGCTAGTGTGAACTTATAAGTATAAAAAGGAAACAGAATGGGAGCCAGGGATATAGCTCAGTGGCACAAGCATTTGCCTGGCAAGTGCAAGGTCCAGAGTTCGATTCCTGGTACCAACAACAACAACAAAAAAAAGGAAAGCAAAATGAAATAGTTTACATCAGAAAACGCCAGGTACCAGATCGCACACCCTGATCTCCATTGCCCTCTCCTTTTCTATCTTTCTCACCCTTAATTTTCGCAGATAATGCACGCTTTCCCAGCAAAACCAGCACCAGTTTGAGCAGGACAAGAAACAGGACCCCTGGGGTACAAGGCCGGTGGGTGAGAATTTGTAGATCCAATCTGCCATGTTATGTAAGGAAAGCGTTCTTTCCTTTGCAGATTTATTCCAAGAGTGGAATTTAACTTTGTGCTACCCTTAGCAAGACAGGACGAATTACACATTTAAAAAATTCCTTTTGTAAGAGAGATTTTAGGTCACGTGCGCCCTCTAGTGGTTAAAGTAATCCAATGCTTACAAACTCACAGTAAAGCACCGGTCCGGAGGGGCGTGGTAGAAATCATATTTCAAAGTTATCTATAAAATTGATAAGACCCTAAAAATAAAAATAAAGTAATTTCAAATGTCAAACATCTGCACACGTTTATGAGGTACAGTGTAATTTTATAATGCATGTATTACATCCCAGTGCTTAAGTAGAGTTCATTAACTTATCACCTCAGCTACTATTTCTCTGTGATTAGAATACTTAAAAGCTACTTTTTGAGCTGAATGTGGGGGCACACGCCTATAACCCCAGCACTCGGGAGGCTGAGGCAGGAGGGTCACTGCCAGTTCGAGGCCAGCCTGCTCTGCATATTGAGTTCAAGGGAGCCTGAACTACACAGCAAAGGGGCCCTATCTTTAATAAAATAAATCTACTTTTTAAAGAGCAGCTTGTTGATCGACTTGAATGATTTATAATTTCATCTTGGAAAAAAATGGTTAATTATTCAGTTAGATGAGTCACAAAATTTTCAATTATATTGATATGTATATATGTTATATATATATATATAACTTTTATAAATATATATATTATAATTCTTTTTTCTACTGGGAATCGAACTCAGGACCTTGTGCTTGCCAGGCACGTGCTGCACTGCTGAGCTCTATCCCCAGCTCATGTATATTGTAATTGTGAAGTAACTACGAAAACAAGACCTTTTTAAGAGTTAGGTATGTGCTGGGTGTTATGAGCTTTTAAGCTCCTGCCACACTGCTTTAGCATTTTGAAAAACTCATTACGTGAGCTTTGCATGTGGAGAAAGCAAAGCATAGATCAATAAAGGAGTCACTAAGTGATGTCTGCCTGGCAGGAGCAATGACCATAGATGGCCTGTCGGTGTGTGCGTGGGTTTGTCCCACTGTCTGCTCTGCAAGGCTGGTGGCGGCAGAGGGTTTAGCCCATGGTGTCCTGATGAAGAAGCCGGAGAGGGAGGAGACGAGATGCCCACCCACACACAGAAGACGGCTCTGTGCCCTTGAAATGCCCTTCTGGAGCGAAGATGCTGGGATTCTGATCCTTTGCATCCTGAACTCAAAATGAACCTTCACATCGGGTGGACCAAACAAGGGCACTGAGGAACCCCCAGAACAATGTGTACAAGAGGCTTCATCACGGCATCCCTCTGCATTCTATACAAATACACGCAGTACAGTGTGTCAGTACAGAACCCAAAACTCACAGTTAAAAACTCACAGTGTTGCCGGGCATGGTGGAGCACGCCTGTAATCCCAGCACTCGGGAGGCTGAGGCAGGAGGATCGTTGCGAGTTCAAGGCCAGCCTGGGCTATAAAGTGAGCTCAAGGCCAGCCTGAACTGCATAGCAGGACCCTGTCTCAAAAAGACAGAAAAAAAAAGCAAACAACCTCGCAGTGTTTGACCAAAAAAAAAACACCATAAGCCTCGGGGACAGAGAGACAGCTGTCTCCAGGCTAACTTTCCAGTCCTGCACAAAAAGTGCAACCAGCCTTGGTCGCTGCCTGTGAGCTCAAAAAGGCAAAAAGTATGAAATTAGGATGAATATTCAAATTCTGAGGAATTTGTAGCAGAGTTCCAAATCATCGCAGGTGCGGTCTTTCCAACCGCACCTCCGCATCGGATGAGAATAACGCGATAAGTGTATGCAAACAGACTTGCAGAACCACACCTGTACCCTACATGTTTTCTCTCCTCCCTGTGTGATGAAATTATTTTCTCAAATCTCTGAGATCTTGCCCGGCCGGAGTTGAGCAAGGTGTCCCCTGGCCTCCTCTCTGTTCTTGGAGTTAAATCTGCCTCCCTGAAAGTGGAAAACCATTTTCAAACACATTATGTTTAATTCTCAGGATGGGAATGTTGCTGCTGGCTGTTTGCTAAATTCAAGCCCGGGATCTGCTCTTACCAGTTTGGTATCAGACAGAAGGTGGCAGGAGAGAAATTCAGCTATGTGGTTCCTCATCTGTAGGTGAATTTAAAAACTAAAAGCTAGCAATGGAAACTCAATCTCATTAAAAATTTCCTAGTGTGATACTACAATTTCCATCATGAACTAGATTCAGGGAAAAGAGCCTGGAGATAGATCTCCAACTCCCTTTGTCACTGCACTTTCATTTTATTTATTTTTGGCTTTTGCTAACCCTCTAAATTCCCCAGGCTGGCCTCAAGGTTATAACCCTCCTGCCTCAGCCTCCCAAGGTGCTGGGATTATCAGCATGCACTACTATGTCCCGCTTATGAAATTTTTATGGTGGTATAATGTGCAAAAGTGCTATCATTTTAACCATTTGTGGTGGGTTAACTAATGATCAACTTGTAACCCTCGGGTGAACTGAGTCAGCATGGTGCTGGGTGTGGAGGCCCCACCTGGGGACTGTCACCAGCAGCGTGAAAGAGCTGGAGGGGAAGGTGGTGGGCGTTTTTTTGTTTTGTTTTGTTCTTGTTTCTGTTTCTTTTTGTCTTTTTGAGACAGGTTTTCATTAAGCAGTTCAGGCGGCCTTGAGCTCACTTTGTAGCCCAGGCTGGCCTCAAACTTGCATGGATCCTCCTGCCTCAGCCTCCTGACTGCTGGGATTACAGGCGTGCACCCCCACACCGGGATAATTTCTTTTTTTATTTTTAGTGTCAGGAATCGAACTCAGGACATTGTACTTGCCAGGTCACCGCTGTACTGCTGAGCTATCTCCCCAGCACTGTGCCATTGATCCTCCTGGAGAAGCTTGCTGCGTTGGCTTTCCTGATGGGAACTCGGCCATCTTGATCATCGGAGGAGCTCGGGACCTCACTGTTGCTGAGGATGGCTGTGGTACCTTTCGGGGGAGCTCTGGTTCTTCTGGGCATCACTTCCTGGCTGCAGTGCAGATCCCTCAGCTTGCTAGCACAGATCCTTCATTCTGCTGGCACAGACTTTGTAGCTTCCACCACTGACCTTTGGGCCTTCCCAGCATAGATTCATGAGACAGGCCTGCATGGGATATTGTCAGGGGCTCTAGGTCTCCAGCTGGACTCGTGCAGGACTTTGCTGTGGGATCCAGGCCCTCAGCTGGATTCTTTGGGTCTCTGATACATGGACAGACCTCTTGCATTCTTCTGCATTTGACTCTGGATGAATAGTATAAAGTAACCCTCTAAATTGTGTGTCCTGTATTAAATTGCTTCCCTTGCCTTGACTATAACACCGTGTTAAGTGTGCTTGCCATTTCGCTTGAGATGACATTTTCCTTTCCTGGTATTGATTTATCTTTCCACAAATTCCCTCAGTTAAACATGTCTCCCACGGCAGGTGGCGGTATAGATGCTCTTTTTTTTTACTGTTTCTGCATTTTTAAAAATTTCATCATCCTTGCTGGATGGCTTAGGAATGTAACCTTGGCTTCCTGATTTTTTTTTTTTTTACAGGTGAGAAAAATTAATCAGTTTTCTGATGGTCTCCTTTGTGGGTTAGCTACTCAGCGTGTATGTGGAAAACTTTCCCTTAAGATATTGTTTTAGTCATTTCCTTCCATTTTTCTTCAAATATCAATTATTTCTGTTCTGTCTTCCAGGCACCAAAATTAAGTACCGCGGGCCACACATTTAAAAAAAAAAAATACAGCCAGCAATGCTATTAATAACAGTCTTTATTGAGTACTCAGCAGCTGTGTGAGGCAATTTTGGGAGACTTAATCCACACTGACACACATGTGGGTTCTTTCCACCTCACTCACGAAGCAAGTGAACTACAGGGTCATCACTCCAATCGCACCGCTCACAGAAACTGGGCATTTACCCCAGAAACGGGTAAATGTTGGGCAGGAGAAAAATAAAGGAAATGAAGGGAAGAGATCAATCTACCTCAGTGTCCACTTCCGTTTTTTACCAAGCTCCTCAGCTTACCAGGGGCTTAGGTTCTCCTCTAGACAGACATTCCCTTTAACCCAGCTTGGACGTGAGAGCCGGGCGTGGTGGCGCACGCCTGTAATCCCCGCACTTGGGAGGCTGAGGCAGGGGGATCACTGTGAATTCGAGACCAGCCTGGGCTACAAAGTGAGCTCAAGGACAGCCTGAACTGCATAGCGAGACCCTGTCTCAAAAAGACAAAAAAAAAAAAAAAAGGCAAACCCAGCTACTGTTGTCCTGTGTATCTTCCCAAAAAAATAAAAGACATTGCAATGATCCACATACACCTGTGTTTATAGCAACACGGTTCACAATAGGTACGTCTCAGAAGCAACCTGTACGGTCATCAGTGGATAAATGCATAAAGCAAATGTGTATGTGCACAATGGAATACTACTCTGCCTTGAAGAAGCTATTTGAGTCATTTGTAACAAAACAGAAGCACCCTGAGACCACAATATTAAGTGAAATAAATCAGACACACAAGCTTTAATACAGCACAGCTTCTTGTATAGGAGAAACCCAAATTATAACTAAAGATCCAAATAAAACATAGGTAGTAGGCAGTAGGTGATCTTCCGTGAAGGGGAGGGTGATCAAGAGCTTCAAGGAGGAAAAGGGTGTGAAAGATGAATGCAGACGTCTCACATGCATGCACCACACAAGGAATGTACACAGTGTCCTGCACATGTGCAGTAATAAATAAGTAAAAGAAAACTTGTGACTTGAGTGGTTGTAGCTGTATTAAACCAGCATCCCGCATCTCTCTTGATGGGGCCACATTTACGTGGCTGAGCTCCTAACAGAAGCCTGGTGAAGGGAACCATATTGGCTCCCAGCTGGATGCAAGAGTGTGTTGGTGCCGGGTAACAAGCATCCCCCTCTGTCATGGAGCCGTGTGCAGCATGTCGTCTTCCCTGTCGCACCCACAGAAGGGGAAGGTCCCACAGCAGGGCTGCATCCAGGGCTTCCAGAGCACCTTGAAGGCAGACAGCTGCTGGGGCACGGCCGTGAGGGTCTTGCGGTGCTCTCTCACGGCGGCCTCGATTTTCTTGATCACCAAGTCAAACACGGGCTCGTTGTCAGGGTTCAGTTCTTGGGCTTCTGCGGGGTCCGTGGAGATGTCAAACAGCAGTGGCGGGTCGTGGTGGATGACGTCCCCGGAGCAGGAGCACAGCCCGCTCCCGTAACACGCTCCGGCTCCCTCCGGGGAGAACTTGGGGGTCACAAAATGCCCCTTCCACACCGTGGCACCTGGAAGGAGGACTCCATCCGTCAGCTGATCCCACAGCCCGTTTAAGACCCAGGCATGGGAAACATATTCCGCAAAGGCCCCCGCACCACGGCACGCCTTTCTCTGCACAACGCTCCCGTCCAGCCCAGGGGGAGCAGCGAGCTCGCGGATGAATGTCCCCGCAGCCTTAGCACGAGAACACCGGGACCGAGGGGTCAGCCACCGGCCCACGTGAGAACACGCTCAGCAGACCACAGCGAGACCCCGAAGGGACCCGGCAGGGGCGACAGGGACGCCCGAAGAGCAGCCCGTCGGCCAGGCCACTTGGAGACATCACCGTTGTTCTCCTCTCTGTCTCTCTGGCTGTCGTTCTCTCTGTATCTCTCATGCCATCTCTGTCTGTCTCTGTCTCTCTGTCTCTCTCTCTGTCTCTGTCTATCTCTGTATCTCTCTGTGTTTCTCTGCCTCTGTCTCTCTGTGTCTCTGTATCCCTGTCTCTCTCCCTCTGTCTGTTCTCTGTCTGTCTCTTTGTCTGTCTCTTTGTCTCTGTCTCTCTCTGTCTCTGTGTCTCTCTCTGTTTCTCTGTCTCTCTCTGTCTGTCTATCTGTCTCTCTGGCTCTCTGTGTCTCTCTGTCTGTCTCTGTCTCTCTCTCTTTCTCTCTCTGCCTCTACCTCTGTATATCTCTCTGTTTCTCTGTCTCTCTCTCTGTCTCTCTCTCTGTTTCTGTCTCTCTGTGTCTCTGTATCTCTTTTTCTCTCCCTCTGTCTGTCTCTCTCTATCTCTCTGTTTCTCTGTCTGTCTGTCTCTCAATCTCTATCTCTCTGTCTCTCTGTTTCTCTGTCTTTCTATCTTGTTCTGTCTCTCTGTGTGTCTCTCTCTGTCTCTCTGTGTGTCTCTCTCTGTCTCTCTGTCTTTGTTTCTCTCTGTGTCCCTGTATCTCTCTCTGTGTGTCTCTGTCTCTCTGTCTGTCTCTCTCTGTTTGTCTCTGTCTCTGTCTCTGTCTCTGTCTCTCTCTGTCTCTCTCTCTGTCTCTATCTCTGTGTCTCTCTGTGTCTCTCTGTCTTTGTCTCTCTCTGTCTCCCTGTGTCTCTCTCTGTCTGTGTGTCTCTGTCTCTCTGTCTGTCTCTCTCTCACACACACACACCTCCAGTCTACCTCCCCCGCCGCGCGTCACTCACAGTCCTTCTGGTGCCAGCGGACCGCGTGCAGGTGGACGCCGCAGTAGTGGAAGAGGAACTCGTGGTGTGAGCGGGTCGTCCTGCCCTCGAGCAGGGGCATCAGGTTGCGGCCGTCGATCACCCTTGGGGGGGGGGGGAAGGCAGCGTGAGGGCGTGGGGGTTGCAGGGACGTGGTTTGTGACGAGGACAAAAGGGGCAAAAATTAAAGGAACTCGAAGAAGACGAAGGGAGAAGAAAACAAGGCAACAGCGAAAGAGAGGACTTTTGAAAAGCTCACTGCACATTTTAACCCTTTTTAGAACCAAAGCAAAAATTCAAAAATAAAACAGGAAGTGACACTTGCACAGTTTCCAAGACCGTGGGAGAGGGTTACAGCTGGGAATGTCACTCTGATGTCTGCAAACCATCCCTCTGATTAAAATAAAACCGCACAAATAGCAGGGTGTGGTGGTGTACGCCTGTCACCTGTCACGGCAGTACTCTGGGAGGCTGAGGCAGGAGGATCACAAGGTCAACCCCAGCCTGGGCGACTTAGTCAGAATCCGTGTCACAGTAAAAAAAGGCTGCGTGATGTAGCTCAGTGTGAAGGCCCTGCGTTCCATCCCCAGTACCACAAAATAAAATTTTAAAAAGTAAAAATAAAGTGAACTTCACAGGTGACAAACGGATACCAACCTTGGTGCGCACAGAATTTAACCACAAAAGCGTGCGGTGGACTTATCCATTTTAAAACCAGGAGAGAAAATTCCGAAGAGAAAAGATAGTGCAGTGACCTCCTTTTACCTAATTCAACACACATACACCAACACACGCTTCCTTTCACTCAGAAATAACACTGAACGGGGCTGGGGATGTAGCTCAGCGGCACAAGCGCCTGCCTGGCAAGCGCAAAGTCCTGAGTTCGATTCCTGGTACTAAAATAAAGCAAAATAAAATAAAATAAAAATATATAACCCTCATGAGCATGTGGGTTCCAAGATCTACAGACAGTGAAATCCGCAAATGCTCACATCCCCTTTATGAAGTGGTGTAGGGTTTGTTTACGCCCTACCCACACCCCCTGTGTATTTCAAATCATCTCTGGGTGACTTCTAATACCTGGTGGAGCGAGTATGATCTCAAAGGCGTCGTTGGACCGCATGAGGAAGGCCAGCATGTGTAGATATCGTGAACAAATATCAGTGAATGTTAAGAGATTCAGAAAGGGAAACAGACTCTGCTGATGCATGCTCCAAGCACGACCAACGTTGCCTGGACAAAGCATTGATAATTAATCAATATCACATAATCAGTATCACACACGCCCACACACAGAACGCTCTAGCGTACCGGAGGCTTCCGAAGAAAAGTGTTTTATGAGGACCAGCCAGCCTGGGCTCCGTACCTGTCCTGGGGCAGGGTCCCCCCGCCTAAGTAGGAGAGTGTGGGGAAGACGTCCATCAGGCTGGTGGGCTCATGGACGACCTTGCCCGCCTCCAGCACGCCGGGCCAGCGCAGGATCCCGGGGACGCGGATGCCGCCTTCCCAGCCGCCCGTGCCTCTGCCACCTGCAAACCGAGAAGCTGAGGTGAGTCCAACCCACGGAAAAGCAAACCGGGCGCCCCATTGGTGCGTGCCAGCTTCTCGCAGAAGCTGGCGAAGTGATCACCGGTGGCCTCCCTGGAGTGGAAGCCCCAGCTGTCACCTTCCAGAGTACAAGTAGCAAATTCAATAATAATAAAAGTGAGGGCTCCCCGAAGACAGGGTATATTAATTTGTGCTCAAATTAATGCCATAGAGTTGCAGACTTTCTTTTGGTCTGTCTTGGGAAACAAGCCTAAAGCCTTATCCACCGCATTACGTCCCCAACCCTTTGTAATATTCACTGACATACTTATTTATGTATGTTACTTGAGACCGGGTGTTCCTGAGTTGCCCCAGCTGGGCTCAAACCTGCCATCTTCCTGCTTCAGCCTCCCAAAGTACTAGAGAGTGCTTTTCTTTTTCTTCAATGCAGAATAAACCTTCATTAAACACTCATGAATCCACTGTTATCCTATCTTCATTTTAGGAACTGTCGCCGGGAGACACAGGAAAAACATGAACTGTGCACACAGGACAATCACAGGTATCTATTCAGTCCCCCATGGGGGCACAGCCATGAGCTCCCTGCCCTCTGCTGGCAGTGATGGAAACTGCAGCTGGGCATGGTGAGGC